CTGCCCACTGCTGGGCGCCATCTAATCTGGGGTCAAAACTTCCAACAAAGGGAGCGTTTGGCTTCCGGGAGGGAAAGCAGCCATGTGATTGTCTGGATTACAGATTTTTAATCCGCTACCTTTAGCCACATGAAGAGAAAAGACAAATTTGCCTATGAGCCTGACACACTGGTTATGTTTTCTTTATAGCCTGCCCAGCTATAAAGAAAACATAACTCTGGGCTTAAAATAAAACAAAGGTTATTTGAAACTACTTTCACCGGGTTAGAAAAACAGGTTAATTAAAAAAAAAAAAAAAAAGATTTTGTTTATTTGAGAGAGCATGAGAGAGCATGAGTGGGGGCGGGCAGAGGGAGAGGGAGAAGCAGACTCCCCGCTGAGCAGGGAACCCCAAGACATGGGGCTCAATCCCAAGACCCTGGGATCCTGACCTGAGCCGAAGGCAGCTGCTTAACCGACTGAGCCACCCAGGCCCCAATAAAAAGGTTAATTTTTAATGCCCCCAGCAGTGAGTTGTCAGATGACAAATTAGGAAAACAAATGACTTGAAGTTAAATGTTTTGACTGCAATTCTCAAAATATGAGAATCCGTTTGCTGTGCAGATGTCGAGCTCCGTGTTTTCCAACCAGTCGGAGGATTTTATGAGTTGCCTGTTACTATTTAATCCCCAAAGTGGAAGTGGTCAGAAGTGCACATTCAAGTGGGCCTGCCCGCCAGTCTGCATTTGAGCTGCTTTTGAACTCAGACGTACAATCTCTGATGGAATCTCAGTCTTGGACAACTCAGTGTGGGATGCTGGGACTTCCTTCCCAGAGGCCCATTTATAGACTGAGCCCTGAGCCGAAAGGGAAGCTAAGGCAATGAGAATGGCTCATGTCAGGGTGTAGGCCTGGGGATCCCTGGGGCTTCCTTCCGTGGTCTCTCGCTGGTCCCCTGGCTCCAGTCCTGCCTGCCTTTCAGTCCTGACTTCTCAAAGTGTGGTCCGTGGACCCACAGCATAGCATTACCTTGGAGCTTGTTGGAAATTTGGAATCATGGATCATAATCTTTATTTTAATGGGAGAGCCCGGTGATCTGTATGCACATTAGTTTGGGAGTCACTGTTCTAAGGAGTGTTTCTGAGTAATTTCTGGAGCACAGATCTGCACCTGTGGTTGCTCATTCAGCATGCCCAACTGGGCCCTCTGCTGGAGGGCTGGCTCTCCTGTTTCTCTCTTCATAGCCCTCTACCCTCGATGGAGAAGGCTGAGTTCAAGCTTTGCCTCTGGCGCTTACTAGTCATATAGTCCTAGTCAGGGCCTCTGACTTCTGTGAGCCTCACTTTACTCATCTGTAAAATGGAGACAATTACAGCAATCACACAGGTCTGATGTAAGACCAAGAAATAATGGTGTGAGGACTGGGATTGTCATTCAGTCTTACTTCTCCCTTGGCCCCCACGCCCATGCATTCTGGTGACTGCTGGCATCTTTGTGAATGTACATTTTTAGGAATCACCCAGCAAAATCCATTGCCTTTGGAAGATACTACATAGTATGTTGGCTAAGAAGAGCATGGGCAACACAGCCAGATGGACTAGAGTTCAAATTTTGACTCTCTTACTTACTGCTACATTCCTGTCTGAGCCTTGGTTTTGTCCTCTATAAAATGTGGTTGACAAGAAAGTGACATCACAATCAAAAGAGGTAATACATGTGAAGTGTGTGGCACACAACAATTAGTGACAAATCTCGGTATTATTATTACTATTACTATTATTACCCAAACCTGGTAGCACAGAGAAATGGTGGGAAGGGTGGTAAATACCATTCAAATGAACCAGCACTGCCACTCTGGAAAACAGTATGGAGTTTCCTCAAAAAGTTAAAAATAGAGGGGCTCCTGGGTGGCTCAGCGGGCTAAAGCCTCTGACTTGGTTTCAGCTCAGGTCATGATCTCAGGGTCAGGAGACTGAGCCCCACATTGGGCTTCACGCTCAGCATGGAGTCTGCTTGTCTCTGTCCCCTTACTCCATCTCTTAAGTAAATCTTAAATAAATAAAATCTTTTTTTTTTAAGTTAAAAATAGAACTACCCTACTATCCAGCAATTGCACTACTAGGTATTTGCCCAAAGAATACAAAACCCCCAATCCCCAGTTAGAAGGGATACAAGCACCCTGATGTTTACAGCAGTGTTATCTACAATAGTTACACATGGAAGCGGCCCAAGTGTCTATCGACTGATGAATGGACAAAGGAGATGTGGTGTACACACGATGGAGTGTTATTCAGCCACAGAAAGAATGAAATCCTGTCATTTGCAATGACATGAATGGAACTACAGAATATACTACTAAGTGGAGAAAGACTAATACCATATGATTTTGTTCATACATGGAATTTAAGAAACAAACCAGTTAAGGGGCGTCTGGGTGGCTCAGTGGGTTAAAGCCTCTGCCTTTGGCTCAGGTCATGATCTCGGGGTCCTGGGATCGAGCCCTGGGAGCCTGCTTCCCCCTCTGTCTCTGCCTGTCTCTCTGCCTACCTGTGATCTCTGCCAAATAAATAAATAAATAAATAAACAAATAAACAAACAAACAAATAAATAAATAAATAGAAAAAGAAACAAACCAGCTAAGGGGAAAAAAGAAGAGTGAGACACAAACCAAGAAACAGACCCTCAGCTACAGAGAACACACTGATGGTCACCAGAGGGGAGAGAGTGGGGGGGATGGGGGAAATGGAGGGGGTGTAAGTGGGAGGGTTAGGAGGTGGGGGAAATAGGTGATGGGGATTAAGGAGAGCACCAGCTGATGCCCGGAAGTGTTGAATCACTATATTGTCACCTGAAACTAATATTACACTGTTTGTTAACTAACCGGACAATGTAAATAAAAACAGGAAAAAACGACTACACCGTATATGAAAAATAAGAAAATACCATGCAGGGCGCCTGGGTAGCTCAGTTGGTTAAGCAACTGCCTTCAGCTCAGGTCATGATCCTGGAGTCCCAGGATGGAGTCCCACATCGGGCTCCCTGCTCACTGGGGAGTCTGCTTCTCCCTCTGACCCTCTCCCCTCTCATTCTCTCTCTCTCTCTCTTTCTCTCTCTCAAATAGATAAATAAAATCTTTAAAAAAAAGAAAATATCATGCAAATATAAAGCATTATTAATGCTGATATTCCCCGTACTTATTTCAGCCAGCCTTTGGCAGCCAAGTTAGCCCTGGCAATTAGCCCTCCTCTCTTTGCCTACAGAGCATTGCTCTCTCCATTACCCATGGTTGTCCTTGACCTGGCCCACCTGCTTTCCCTCAGCATGTAGTCTGCCTGAGGCACTCGCGCAGCTTGGCTTGCAGTGGCTGGGCAAGAAAAGGGGCACAGGCTGCAGAACTATAGCATTGCTTTCCAACCTAGGCTGCATTGTTTGGAAGCATTGAGGCGGTGGGTGGAAGTCAGGGTGGGGTGATCTTTAAAACCTACTGATGCCTGGGACCCACCCAGGGTCTATCAAATATTCATTTGATAGATCTGAGGTGCCTCTAGGTTCTGGGACGTTTTAAGGTTTTCCAGGTGACTAATATGCAGCTGGGGTTGAGAGACCCCTCTCTCATGCAGAGGATGAGGAGGACAAGCTCTAGAGAACTCCCTCCTGGTTTACGCGCAGGGAATACCTTCTCTACTCTCTACCCCAAAGGGGGCCCACAGGGAATGCTAATTTATTTCGAAAGCAAACGCATCCACTCCCAGAAGCAATAAAACCTCAAAAGGACCCAGAGCCAAGTAACAGAATCCTTGATGGATGGGGATATTTTTGTTCTCTTTGTGAAAACCAACTAAAGCAGTTCAGCCTCAGGAGTTTAAAGAGCAGCTTTAAAGAGCCCGGCCCACGGTGAGTCCCTCTCAACTCACCTCCTGAAGCCCCCAGGAGCACCCAGGGGCATGGGGTGTCCAGAGACCAGGTGTGAAGCCACAGGTGCCCCATTTACTATGCAAGCCAACTGGCACTCCAGTTACTAAAGACAGGTGTGGTGGAATGGTGTTTGGGGAAGCAGTTCCAATGAAAGATTAAACATTAAAACAAAAAAAGACTTCCAATGGATGGGACACCTGAGTTCCTGAGCCTTCCCTCTCCCGTGCCCCAATGATTTATTTCAACCCTTGAGGAATTCCAGGCCCCAAAGGGGATTTATTTTTCGGGGTTTTGCAGAACAAACCAGGGAGACCTCTGCCTACCCTGATGACACAGGAGTTACAAGTGGCTCTCGAAGGCACTGGCCGTTGGTTGCTGGCTCACCTGTGGCTACGGAGGCCCGACTGGGCAGGTGTGACCTGGCCACAGGTGATGGGGAGAGGCAGGAGTTGAGATCATGGCAAGCATGAGCATTGTGCCCAGCTTTGCCAAGAAGCCATCATGCCTGGGACCAGTGATTCTCCTTTGGGCTATGGGCACAGAGTTCTGAACACCCATTCCCTTTCTCACCTGCTGAGAGATGCCCCTGTTGGGAGCCTGCTGTCCCCTGGGCAGAGAAAAGGTCAAGCTACTGCCCCCTACGCCCCAAGGATACCTGTTGCTCATGGTCATCCCCTCGAATGCGCCCCCCCTACAACCAGGTCCTGACTTCTGGGCAGACTCCCACTCGGCCTCTGAGACCCAGCCCAAAGCTTTTAGGGCCGATCAACCATGTCACCCTCTGGGCAGCCCCTTAAACACAGTCCTTCCATAAGTACCTGTGACTACAGGACTAGGGGCTGGCTGGCTGGCGTGCGGATCTCATGTCACTGTGCGGTATGAGGTCTACCCTGGATTTAACAGGAAAATGACAGATGTGCAGTTGGGAGGGATAGAGATGGGGAGAGACAGAGAGAGAGAGACACAGCAGAGAGAGAGAGGGAGAGAAACAGAGAGAGGGAGAGAAACACAGAGGGGAGAGAGGGAGAGAGACAGAAAGAGGGAGAGAGACAGAGAGAGGGAGAGAGGCATCTTTTCCAGGGTTGCTTAGAGGGGCAGCCACTTACCAGTTCCTTCCTGAGCCAGGCTATAGCCTCGTCGATACTTTCAAAGCCTTCCAGCTTGCTGGCGGGCTGGGGCCCAGCGTCCTGGGGGCCACTCCCGTTAGGTGGGAAATGCCGCCTGGGCTCTCTCCTCGGGGATGAGGGGTCCTCCTCCGCACACTCCCCCTGCTCAGCAGGGGGCCTCGGGAAGGGCCATGTCTGCTCTTCCAGCCTGGCCTGCCATTCCAAGTAGGAGGGCCTTCGGGTCTCCAGCCTCAGTTTCTCAGTGAGGGCTTTCAGGCTCCGGAGGTGGTCATCCGGAGGCAGGGCTGCTCCTGCCGGCTCTTCTTCCCCACCTACCACTTCTTCTACTTGGATCTGAGGCACAGACATTCTAGAGTCTGCTGGGGCGGCCAGACATGGGAGGCGGTGGGAGGTGGTGTGGGACTCTTGGTGGGTGGCAAGGTTGGGTCCCACTCAGGAATGCTCTCATCCGGCTGGGGTCAGGGCTCCTGAGTGCATTGCTGGGATGTGAGCAGCTCCCGGAGCTGACAGGGGCCCTCCGTGGATGAGCCACACAGGGTGCCCTCCAGGGCAGCTGTGGAGGGTCAGGATTTAAGCTTCTTCCCGGAGTCCTGCGGGTGCCATGTTTCACAAAAGGCAGGAACAGACAAGCGTCAGCAGGAATCTTTGGGGGCAAATTTGCCAAGAAGATCTATCAGTCCTGGAGGTGCAGGCAGATCTGAGACTGGCGGGAAGGCAGGACTGAGCTCCCTCCTCACGGGCCAGGGCAGGCGGTGAGAAGCTGCTGGCTGGCTGGTTGGAGGCCCTGCAGGAAGGATGCAAATGAAGTCAGTATTAATCCCTCCCCTGGCAGGAGGCCTGCCACATTCCTGAGTTCCTCAGGAGGGGAAACTGAGGCTCAGAGAGGTTAGGTGACAGGGCTGCTGATGGCTCCCTCAGGACGAGAAGTGAGGCAATTTTAAGCCTTAACTCAATGCACAGAAGTTAATAACACATCAATGCTCTGTACAGTGTTCCACCGCTGACGACATGATTCCACCTCCATTATCTCATTCAGTCCTCAAGGCGGGTCTGTAGTTGCTTCTTTCTGTCCCCATTTTACATGCCAGGCTCTGACAGTTTGGATGACTCACCTGAGAGCTCCTGGCGATCAGCAAGGACAAGACTGGGTTGTCTGATTCTGAGGGAGCTGGTCTCTCCTTGGAGCAACAGAGCCCTTGTGGGTCCCCAGGCAGACACAGTTGTGCCCTGGGGTCCGGGGATGCTGACCCTGCCCCGCCCCATCCACCACAGCCCCTGTCCTCAGGCGCTGTCTCCTCCAGGTCCTCCTGCACACCCTCAGCTTCTTCCTCCAGAGACAACACCTTACCTCACCGCTTCCGAGGAGGAAACAAATAAACCTGCAACCGCTTTGGGAAGAGCCGACCTCCCTCAAGGAGGATTGTTAAACGGAGCGAGGACTATGACTCACCACCCTTCTAGAAAGATGGTTCTCACATTTACTTAAAATGCACGCACTCTAGCGCCTCGTGGACAAGGGCTGTGGCTCTCTGATCTGATCTGGCCTTCCCATCTCCGGGGAGGTGGTCTGAGCACAATGTAGAGAAGGAGCTCCAAGTCTGAGTAAGAGATTCCAGCCTCCCAGCGGCATCCCTGCACCCACAGGGTCCAGGCAACTGGAGATAGGTACATCAGAGTAGGGGACATTTGACTCAGACCAAGGAGAGAAGTCCTTGGTTCTCAGGCTGATCTTTAAAAATGTGTGCTAAGGGCATGCCGAAAAAGAATGAATTCGTATGGAGCGATGTCCAAGATAAAGCTTCCATGGAAAAACAAAACAAAACAAATTATTTGTAGTCTGGAGGGTGTAGAAAAGGAGGAGAAGGGACAGATTTTTATTGACTTCTATGAGAATAAAATGATCTCTGGAAGGAGAAAAACTAAAACTAAGAGTTCTGATTACTTGTTTGGGTGATGAGAACTGGACATGGGGTGTTGGGGGATGGCATAGGAAGAGGCAGAGATTCAGAGGGAGCAAAATAAAAACATAGACTCATCCCTCCAGGGAAGCTCTGGGGCCTCCCTCCCACCTAGTGATGGAGATGTTCAGGAAGAACAGACCAGGTGGCTCAGCCGGTTAAGCCTCTGCCTTCCGCTCAGGTCATGATCTCAGGGTCATGGGATCAAGCCCTGCATTGGGTTCCCTGCTCAGTGGTGAGTCTAGTTCTCTCTCTTTCCCTCTCCCCTGCTCATGCTCCCTCCCTCTCCTTTCTCTGTCATTCAAATAAAGAAATAAAATTTGGGGGCACGTGGGTGGCTCCATCAGTTAGATGTCTGACTGGTTCAGAGAGTCCTGGGATCCAGCCCCATGTTGGGCTCCCAAGCTTGCTTCTCCCTCTGTACCTGACTGTGCTCATTCTCTCTCTCTTTCTCTCTCAAATAAACAAATAAAATCTTAAAGAGGAAGAACGGGGAGGAGGAAGAGGAGGAGGACAGACCTTGCTGTCTTTTTGGACTGTTTCTACAATCTCTGCCTGTCACGTGATCTGACCGAGGGATATCTGGCTGTCCTCCCCATGCTCTGAGCCTGGCCCGTCTGGAGGTATCCCTGAGGAATGAGGGAGAATAGTCTACCCCAACGAATGGCAGAGAAACCTAGTTCTCACCTCCAGCCACCCAGATGGAAATCCTCAGGAACTTCCACAAAAATGGATTCCCAGACTCCACTCCCAGGGGTTCGGATTCCATTAATGCGGGGGGGGGGGGGGGGGGGGGGGGGGAGGCTCAACCATCAGCATGTTTTTAAAGCTCCCCAGGTGGTGTGAGGGAGCGGCCAGGGCTGAGAACCCCTGGTCTGGAGCTAGAAACCCTAGACTAGGGGTCAGAGGGCCGAGCTGCAGGTGCTGTCAGGCTTGCTGGGCCTCAGTTTCCTGGCCTATAAAATGGGGGTGATAATATCAATCTCCTAGGTTTGGGGGATTGGCAGAACTAAGGTTTGTACACGCTTTCTGCAGGTGTAGCATGCTTTGCCGATGCAGGGTATTTTCCTGAGGGGCTTTCTGCGCCTCTCAAGGTCACACAGGCTTCTCAGAATCTCTCCGAATCTAAAGACCTATTAGCAGCCCCTCCCAGGCGCCAGTTGCCCCTTTGCTGAGCTGCCAGAATGTGTTTTGAGTGTGCCTCGGGGCAGCTCTACCTTACAGGACTTCTTTCCACCAGACAGCTCTGATGGTTTCCAGTGAAGCTTTTGGGAGAGGATCTAAGGGAAGACAGACGGTAAGCAGTGCTCTCTCTCTCCACACCGCAGTTGCCTGAGCAGATGACACGGACCGGAAGTCGCCCTCATTCTCTCCCTGGGCAGCACGCTTCCCTGCAGAAGTCAGGGGCAGCTGTGGCGGGAGGGAGAACCTGCTAGGGGAGGGTCTTCCCTTGGGAGTGGGAAAGAGCTATGACTCCATGACTTTAGGAGGCTGCCTCCAAGGGTAGGGGAGTTTATTTTAATTGGTGGTTTCTAAAGCAGCCCCGAGAAACCCTGTGAAGACAGTGTCAGAAGGACTTGGAGACATTACCAGGAGCGCCAATGCACGGTTGAATCAGCTAATGATGAGTCTTTGATCCGCTGAGCTTAGGGAGTGTGTGAAAGAACCCTTGGATGCATCCTCTTACTCAAGCCTCCCAGTGGCCCTTGAGGAGCTGGTGGGATCACCCCATTTCACAAAGGAGAAAATCAAGGTTGGGAGGGGTGGAGTAAGTCACCTCTGACCACAGACGGGGCCAGCAGCCAGACTTGGGCACAGTCTTCAGACAGTGGCTGGCCTCTCTGTCTACTCCCAAGGACACCCAGTTCTGTGATCTTGGACATGTCGCTTCTCGACCACTCCATGCTTCTGTCCTCTTCTAAGAAGTGAGGGTAACCGGGCTCGTCTACATAATTTGCTGGGCTCGGTGCAAATGAAAATGCAGCGCTCACTGTGGAAAAGTATTTAGGAATTTCAAGATGGCAACCGTAGCGCATTTACCCAAGCACGGGGCCCAACGGGGCTGCCGGGGTCCCTTGCTCATGAAGCCAGCCCTGGTGGTAATAACATCAGCTTCATGGGCCATTTCAAGGATTGAAGTAACAAATCTCCAGCCCTTTCCACTGTGACTGTTCTATGGTAAGCCCTAGGCAACAGGATACTTTAAAACTATTATTCTTAAGATGATGAAACCTATCCGTGCTACATCTGTCATGTGACCAGATAGCCCACTCTGTGCAGCACGGGGCAGTCATCCCGTTCATCCCAGACCTGTTAGGTTGCCCGAGCCACTCCTTGCACCCAGCATCCTTCCCTGGGAGCTCACATCCCCCCAGAAGTTCAGGTGTCCCCCTCCGAGTTTCATCACACAGTGGTGACTAGCAGGTCTGCCATGGGAAAGAGAAAAAAAGCCCAGTTTAGGAAAACACCATTCTTCCATCCCCACTCCTTTCCCTCCCTGCTCCTATTCTAAACACCCCCATCCCCAGCTCAGGGCCCCGGGAGTGACCGGCTTTGACAGTGTGTTATCCACATGATAAGAGCAAAGGCAGGGGGGCTGAATGCCTCAGCCCTGGCCCCAGGTGTGCTCCCCAAAACCTCATTGCTGGGACCTCCGTGTCCTCCTCTGTACAAAGAGGCTTCCTACCCCAACCCCTCTCATGTGAGGATCGGCTGGAGTCTGGTAGGTGAAAGCTCTCTGCAACCTTTGAACCCACCTGAGGATTATTATCGCATCAAGGCATGTGTGGGTATGGGGTGGCCTGAGTCAGGGACTCGCCCCTTGACGTGTGCAGCCACCCATAGCAGGCAGGGACTGAGCCCCAGACTGCTTCCCACAGCACATGCACGTGGTGAAGATTTGCTCAAATAGGACTCGTTGTCTGGTCTTCTGGTCCTCCGACAGCATCCCGGGGATCGCTGCCCCTCTGGAAGCCTTGGAGCCTGAGAGCCGCTGGGGGGCTGTTCCTACCCCATCCAGCTAGGCTGCCAGGAGCTGAGCTGGAATGTCACTGACTCAGGTCACCGTAGGGATGTGGGCACTTAGTGGGCACTCCACTGGGTGCAGGGGAGCAGACGCCAGCCCTGGCTTCCTGGTCTGAAAGAGCGGTAGGGACTTCCCTCTCCTTTGGACCTGGGAACACGGGCACTGAGAGGAAGAGCCCACCAATACCTGAGTGGGGCGGTTGCTTTATATCTAATCTAAGTCCTTCCTGCCACTGGGGAACATATTTTCTCTCACTCTGAGCCTTGCAAAGGCAGACAGCCTGGGGAGGAAAGCCAAAGCACGTTGGCACAACCAGGAGCCCAGAAAAACAAGGTCAGACCCTCATCCCACCAGGCTCGGGCGTGCCCTGCCAGGCAGGCCACCCGGCTGCCGGGAACATAAGATTTCCCGCAACAGAACACGACCCTCAGGGGCACATCCACCTTTTTGTAGCAGTGACAAACCAGAGCCCGGGGACCTATGTTGCCCAGGAGGACTGCTGCTCGAACATGCTCCTGGCTAACTCCAGCCCACAGTGGCTGCAGCGAAGGAGGCCAGGCCAGCCATGAGCTAATTCTTGGGCTGCTGGAGAAGCCAGGTGGGTGCATCTCAGTCATCCGGCCAATTAGGCCCTTGTGCCATTATGATCTAAT